GGGACACGTGCAGTGACCCAGGGCTGTCCTGGTGTCCTTCCACCTGCCCAGGTTCCATGTGCAGCTCATTCCTCCCCTGCCCAGCCCTTCCCTGTTGGTGCTGCTGCTCCATGGCTTCAGGGGCCTTGCTGTTCATCAGGAGGGAACTGATCCCTGCTCTGTTGTGAAGTGTCCCAGAAATCACAGCAGCCCAGAACTCCCAGCCTGGCAGGTCAGGAGGAACTGCTGGACTGGCCAGGAGATGAAATTTCCTTCTGAAGTGAATTTCTCCAGGCAGAGTGGAGGGATGCTGGCACAATTCCCTGGAGAAGTGTGTTGGCTGCTCTACTTTCCTTGAGTCATGCAAACTGCAGGCTCAGTCCAGCATCTTTTACAGTACCAAAACCACCAAAATAATTGAAATGAAAATGCTGTGAGCAAATAGATCAAGTGGAAGCATAGTTTACCCTTGTGAGATAAATGGCTTTGCTGATACAGTTGTTTTCCTACCCTTTATTTAAATTACATCTTTGCAAACATAAGAGTTCCTTATGAACATCCCAGGCTGCTATTTATTAATCACTCCTGATTCTATCCATCTTTAAAACCTCTGGGACTGGAAGTGGCTCTGTGGAAATTCAGTGTCTCTTCAGAGAGGATAAATGTAACTGGAGAGTAAATGACAATAAAAAAGGAGTTGTCACTCTGGAAACTGGAGATGTGACACCCTCTCCTTGCCCTCTGGACACCAGGTGGTTCAGCTGAGCCGTGATGACCAAAAGACAGGATAAAGGGATATTCCCTGGCACAGAATGGATGTTTTTGTACTACTGGATTAACAAACCCGTAGCAAGGGTGTCTTTCTGCATGTCCAGCTCTCACAGGGTTTGTTTTGCAGGTGTGAGGATGCCCTGAGGAAGAACAAGAGCCTGATTGGGCCTGACCAGAAGGAATATCAGCGGGAGCTGGAGCGCAACTACCACCGGCTGAAGGAGGCTCTGCAGCCCCTGATCAACAGGAAGATCCCACAGCTCTACAAGGCAGTGCTGCCTGTCACATGCCACAGGTGCATATTTGGGGTTCCTCTCGGGGCACAGGGTGTGAAACTGAGGGGTCTGAACTTCCTGGATCCTGCGCCATCCATTTGTTTTCAATCCTGGCTCTCTTGGCCGAGCCCATCCCTTTTCCCTTCTGTCCCTCCTGAGAGCACATTCCCTTCCCAGCAGCTGTGGTAGGTGTTTGCAATGTTCCTTTTGTTCCTCAGCTAGGACAGTTGGGTTTTTTATTCGTTTCCATCCTGTATCCTATTCTTTTTAGATGCAAAACCACCCTCAGCATGGCAGGACTTTATTCCCAGTGAAACTGGGATCAGGTGCTCCAGGGGGGAAAAATCGTTGGTGTCTTCTGTGCTGGAAGACCAGGAAGCTGGAGATTGGGTTTTGTGTGAGAATGGACATAAAAATCCCAGTGGGAATCACAGGATCACAGAAGGGTTTGGGTTGGAAAGATCTTAAACATCATCCAGTCCCACCCCCTGCCATGGGCACCTTCCACCAGAGCAGGCTGCTCCAACCTGGTCTGGGAAAATTCCAGGGATGGGGAACGAAACCTCCATGTGCAGGTCATGGATGAGCAGGGGGATTTTGGGTACAGCCACTTTCCAACCAGGCTGTGGCTCCCAGAACAGGGACAGGAATGGTTGCCAGCAGGAACCCTCCAGGGAATCTGTGACTCCTGTGGAGTCCCCTGGCAGCAGGGCAAGGCTGGATGTTCCTGGAGCTGCACTGAGGGGGTTTCTGGCTGTGAGTGCTGCAGGAAGGTGCCCTTCCCTCCCTGCCCAGCTTTGGGATACTGGGAGCATCTCCCCAGCTCTGTGTCTATAAAATACCCTGAAAATCATGGAATATCTTAAGTTGGAAAGATCCAAACCAGGATCATCGAGTCCAACTCCCAAGTACTCCTGGCAAATTCCTCTTTAGGAATGTGTTTGAAAGATTTAAATAAGATTTCAGTTGTGCAGGTGGTTTGTGCTGCTTCTTGTGTGTATACAGGAATTAAACTTTCTGTCAGTGTTCTGGATGATCCCAGATACAAACCCAAACCAAATTCCGTGGAAAAGCAACGAGTTTTAATGCCAGTGGACTTAATTTTTGTTGTAACCAGCTCTAGGAAATACTGGAAATCAATTCAGAGTCATTCATCTGGTGAGGCTTCTTATTTCACCATGGAAAATCTGAGCTCATCATTGTATTTTCTCTCCCTCAGAGACTCCTTCAGCAGGATGAGCCTTCGCAAAATGGAAATCTAAACGAGTTAAAAACCAAAATAAAAAAAAAAAAAAAAAGCACTTAAAAAATTAAGGTTTTGAAAAGAAAAAGAGCCTTGTTATCAGCGCTGGGAATCAAAGAAGTTTTATTGTGAAATAAAACTTGGACTTCATCCTGGACATCCCACACACCTCTTCCTCCATCAAAGTGTTCAGTGGCCAAAAAATCATTCTGAATTGTCAAATGTAGACTTCTCAATGTTTGAAAAGAAAAAACAAAAAAAATCATGGCAGTGGTATCCAGAGTATTGGTGATGAGCTGTAAACTTACCTGTTTTTTAAAGCATTTTTATGACTCAAAGGTACACTAAACGCATTTACCTTTATTTATAGCATTACTTAATGTTAAATTTATTTTACTTTTAGTTCCTATATTTAATTTATATTAGGACCATACGCAAATGCATTTTGGAAGTTTTTAATGTAGTGATGATGCTGATGGTTATTTTGATGGTACTATTAAATATGTGAATGTTTACACTTTAATTCCCTGTGCATTGGACTTCAGGGCTCAGCATCCTTGGGGAAAAGGTTCAGAGCAAGGTAAGTCATGGTAACATTAATTAACCAAGTGCTGAATGTTTATTATCCCTGTTCTTTTACTGCAAAAAAAAAAAAAAAATCCAGCTGTAGCCAGCAGCAGATGGAGGCACGGCTGGGTTCCTCTTCACCTCCTTCAGTCCATCAGGTGAAGTTTCAGCCTCACTTCTGTGTGTTCTCCACCAGCTGGGAGGTCCCAGCATCTCCTCACCCCTTGGAATTATCAGTGTCCATGGAACTAAACTGATTTTGTGTCCATTTTTTAATTCAAAGCCTAATTTCACAGGGCAAAGGAACCTCCAATGGTATCAGAGTTTAAAAGGGTACAGAGCATTCTTTGCATTGCTTTATGTGAAGAAAGATGTGTTTGACAGCAGGTATTTTGAAGCCTAACACAGCACTTTGAGGAAACGTCAGAGTAGAAGCTGAGTCCACAACTTCTAAATCTTGTCCTTATTATTTTTCCTCTCTGTGGTGAACAAAATCCTCTGGAAGAGGTGGTGTGTGATTAAACACATTTATTTTCTCTCCATAAATACCTAAATATGCATAAAAAACCAGATATACACACAGAACCCGAATTTGATAAACATAGTCTTCGTATATACATAAAAATAGAAGGAAAAATGGATTTATACATGAAGTGCCCCCCTTTTGCAGCAGCACTGAAGGTTTAGGGTGGGGAGGGTCTTTTTTTTTTCCTTCCTGATACTTATTTGAGGCTATTGGAGACTTCTCCCATGCTCTGTTATCCCAACAGCTCCACAGTGGTGGTGTTTTGTGTGCCAGGCTCTTAAAGGATTCCCTGGAACAGAATAATCCTGAATTAGTTCTGTGTCACGGGGCAGAACACGGGAGTTTCCTGCAGAAAGAAAACTCCAAACGTTTTTATGGCTATTCCAAGATCTCTTGCAAAGCCCAGGGCTCTTGACAAGGTCTTGGAGGTGCTACAAGAGTCAGGGAATCTCAGAATGGAAAACATTAAGGGAAGAGGGAATGGCTTTGGAAGAGATTTACAGGAAGAGGCATTAAAAATATTTACACACTGCAACCAAATCCCAGGAGCCATGAAAGGATGAAACTTTTAATTTACAGCAGTTCTACCCCAGCACAGGAGTTACAAGCGAGTTCAGGGGGGTGGCAAGTGGTGCTGGAGTGAATATCCCAAAAATCCATCCCCAGTCCCTCTCTCTGTGCCAGAAGAGGGGTTTTCATTCAGCATCTTCCAGCTGAGGCTGCTTTCAGCTGCCACAAAAAGTCTCCTCCCAAGCTGTACTGGGATGATGGAAGGCAGCGGGGTCTTCCTTACATCCTATTTTGGTGTAAATAATGGTATTTTGTTTCCTTGGAACATTCCTGATGCTGCAGTTGAATGAAAAAGATAAAGTCTTGCACCAGGTGTGGAAAAATAAACTTTCATTTGCAGGCTGACATTCAGCAAAGCCTAAAAAATTGCATTCTGTAGTGGGATTGGGCTGCCCTTGCAAGGTAAGACTACTGATATTTTTATAATGTAGCTTTTTCTTGGTTTAGACACTGAAATTATTAATTATTACAGTGCAATGCTTTGGAAAAGGGAAAGTGTATTTTATCATTGCAGATTTTTTTATGCTGCAAAATCAAGGCCTGTACAACAATCAAAAAGAGGTCAAACCTACCATGGAAAATACACTAGAAGAGATTTTTCCTGACTTATCTCTGGGTTTATACAACACTATAATAAAAAATAGTAAAAATTAAGTATTGCAGAATTAACTAGGCAGAGGTTTTTAGGGGTTTTCCTGTAAATAAATTAATTTGTAGTGGAAAAAGGTGAAATCTGTCCAGGGCATATTCAGAGCCTGCAGTGACACTTGATGTCATTCCATCCATCCTGGGACAGACTGAACAGCCTGCAGTGACACTTGATGTCATTCCATCCATCCTGGGACAGACTGAACAGTCCCCCCTTTTTGAGTCATACTTGTTAAGATTTTAATTATCAATTTATAGGAGTCACCTTCAAATCTTTGACAAACAATTTGGGATTTTCATCTCTAGTATGCAGTGCAAATGTTTTTGGTTTTGCAATGTTTCCTCTTAACCTCACAACTGTAGTCAAAAAGTACCTTCAAATGAGGAGATACTGTCCAAGAACCAGCTAAAAACCACAGAATGTATTCTGAAAGCACTTTTAATCTTCTGTTTAAGATAATTTCCCAGCCTTTTTGTAACTGCTCCCAAAGCCCTTTCCCTTTCTGCTTTCCCCTCTCCAAACACAAAGTCTGATCTGCTCGTCTCAGATGCGCATCATAACTTTTTTATTTCATATGTACATTCTTAACAAAGCATCAAAGCCAAATGCTCTCCTTTTCCCCCCCAGGTTTCAGGGAGATCCAGGTACAAGTTAACTTCAGTTAAAAGTTAAAACACCACTAAGTTCCCAACTGCCCCGAACAGAGATGCAGATTTGAGGGCTTCACTCTTCAAAGTACAAAATTATTTTAATTACACTACACTCTGCCCCTGGTTTGAAGTATTAATCACACCTATTTACACTTTGCTCATGAACACCTATGCACCAAGATGCAAATTAGAACAGTCAAACACCTCCATGAATTCAGTTCCCTCCAATGCTCTGGACAAGGTTCCCAGACCCTTTTCCTTGTGCTTTAAGTTGCAAGGAGCAGGAAAGAACTGGAGCAGGAGAATAAACCACGTCCATTACCCAAAGACTAAATATGAAGTGTTACTTCCCAAGTTACAAAAATACACAACTTCTGATGAAATTTGCTAGTTAATATACATTTACTCCAGGGTATGAATACAAATAACTTTTATTTAAAAAGAAAAAAAATAAAAGGAAAAAATAAAATAAAAACAAATAAAAGGAAAAAATAAAAGAAAAAAAAGCTAATAATACAATAGGCATGTCTGAGACCTAGAGCTGCATTAAAACCACTACTGGGTGCTGTAGGCATTGTTTAGAATCTATACAAACTGGTATTTCTAAAAGGTCAGAGCACTATTCTCCAGCAGAAAAGTTATGGTGTGAGTCAAGTCCTATGTCATGTTTTGTTAATTCAAGTTGAGCCACTTGACACCAAAGGGAAAAAAACAACAAAAAAAAAGACCAGAAAGATGAAGGATCAGTAGCTTCAAAAAACAAACAGCCGTTCCTTCCAGGTAGCCTGGATGCAAATCAGAGTGAGAGGTGTATGCAAATCCCGAATATTTACAGTCCAAGTACAGCATCACTCTACAATCTTCTTATAAAACAGTAGGTAAGGAGTCGATGTAGATGACGATGTCGGAGAAAGAGAATTCAGAAAGTCCTTTTCCTCTGTGACCTTCACTTCGGAATCATCGAAGAGCAGCCACTTCCCCTCGTACTCCTTGAGGCTCTGGAGCACGTAGAGAGCTTTGTTCTCCAGTCCGTTGGCTCCCAGCCCCGGGGGCTCGCCCTGCTCCGCGCTGGGCTCGGCGCCGCGGGGCTCGGGAGCCACGCTGAGGAGCTTCTCGGGGTTGGGCTGTTTGCTGGCACACAGCTCACAGTCAGCCTTGCTCTTCTGCCCCCCGAGCAGTCCCACGGCCTCCATGTTCTTCTTGCTGAGCACCTTGCCCGGCGGCGCGGCGCCGTTGAGCCTGAAGGAGACCTCGCCGTCGTCGTAGTCCTCGGCCACGGCCCGCGCCTCCTCCTCGGTCAGCGGCTCCGGCTTGAGCGCGGCGTAGCCCGGCTCGGGGAGGAAGTTGCCCCTGTCCAGCTCCAGGCTCTGCAGGTCTGTGACCTTCACCGAGGCCGTGTAGTGGCCGCTGCTGATGGTGATGCCGCTGTGCATGACCACGGCGAAGAGCCCGTAGGTGTCGTTGGTGGGCCGGGTGCTCCACTCCTCCAGGGACAGCCTGAGCGGCGTCAGCAGCGGGGTGTTGATCTTGGACAGGCCCCCGTAGCAGTCAAACCTGGCAAGGGACACACAGCTTACACCTTGTGCCACAGCACCTCCCAAAAAACACTTCAGGTGGCCCTAAGGTGCATCCATATCCTTCCTCCTCAAAGATACGGAGGATGGGAACCTGCTCCCCTGGCTCAGCACCAGCATCCCAAGCACCCCTTAGGAAAGGCATTTTTATGACTGTAATGTTAAATCTTACAGCTCAGAAACTAAATTTTAACTGTCAGAGATCCCCTTCTTCTAAAGATGATTTTTAAATAGTGATGATAAAAGTTCAGCTGATTGTTATCGCTCCTGCTCCTATCTCTGTACAAACACCCCCTTCTCTCTCTCACCATCCTGTTCAAAAACAAACCAAAAACCTCTTCAACAGCCAAGGCTGAACCAAGCAGGGTTGGGTTTGTTTTTTTTCTCCTCCTGAAGGAGTCATTTACTAAATAAAGCATTACTTATTTTACTTTCAAGCAGCTTTAATATCACTCAGAGATTGTGACTAATTTTCCTCAGCTCCCCTCAGAGCACTGCAGCTGTGCCAGTGGTGTTCACCTGGGATTCTTCACTAGCTGTCCTACGGTATTCTAATTTTTCAGACAATTCTGTGGCTAATTTACTTTGGAAAAGCCTCTAGTATTCCATAAACATTCAGTATTTTGTTCACAGCACACAAATTTACCAGGAGGGAAAAAGTCCTTTCATAATAAGGATCTTCTACAGAGTTTGAAGAGAAAGGCAGTGTTGGGATTTCATTATTGTGCATCAGCCTCCTTGAATAATTCTGCTCTTGATGACTTACACATTGCATCAGCCCAGATCAATTAACCCCTTTATTTAACAATAGGTTGTGATGTCCTAATAAATTCCAGGGATGACTCAATCTTACTCAACTGTGAGGGTGTTGTAGGGAAAAATACTGGAGAGTACAGACAACCCTGTAAAACTGAGGTTGGAAAGAGCTTGCTGCTCTTATCCTAGGAAAAAAAACAACTCTTAAATCCAAGGAAACTGCAGCCATGGCATAACTGCAGTAACTGATTGTTGTTTTCCTGGATTTAATTTTGGTTCTGCTTCATTCTTGTTCAGAGCCATGAACCTTGAGACACAGAAATAAACACAGTGACACAAACAGATCCTCAGTCACTCCCAATTCAGTGAAACCTCACTTCAGACCTCTCTTACCATACACATTTCACTCCACCAAAAAGAACACAGAAGAGCATAGAATCAGAAATAACACAAATCTTCTGAAAATCCCTATTGTCAGCTGCCAGAAATAGAGATATTCAGAAGAGAGTCAAAAAACACAGAACTGCTGGCTGATAGCCTGGATTACAAATCCAGTTCCACTCAAGCACACTGGGACAATCATATTGACAGAAAACAGGAAAAAGCAGGCTCTACCTTTCTTCTCAATGACATCCAGCATCAGAAAGATTTGGAGAGGAGGAAATAAGAGAGGAAATCTTTTCCTATTAGCTTTTTGTTCTTCTTAATGATAAGAATCTGAAGACAGAAAAATTGCATGCCAAGTACTCTGCCTGCTCTGACTGATGCACTTCAAACACAGCAAACCTGATTTCTGCAGCCACATCTTTTCAGACCATAAATTAGTGACATTATACCCACTGCACTGAGTTTCACAAGACAAAAAGCTGATTTTCTCACAGATTGTTAAATTTCTATAGTGGAATTGCTCAATTACATATTACCAGTTAACAAATTCCTTCTAGACAGCTTCACAGCCTGCTCACACATGGCCTGGCATTTTTCCCCACACACACACTTGCCAAAGAGAATTACTCCTCCCCAGGCAAGGAGATTTTCACACTGGCTGCTTTATTTTAAAACAAAAACACTTTTCAAAGCAGCATCTAGAAAAGATTAATAAAATCCCTATTAACTGCAAATATTTACTTTACAGTACCCTTCATTTCTCATTTATTTACAACTCAGTCACCAGAGAACTCAGTAGAGCACAACTGAGCAGACCAGATTCCCAAATTTTTGTGGGAGCTAGAAGTTGAAGATTTTGATCTTAAAAAAATTTAAGTTTCAAGGCAGTAGAAGTCACTGCCTTTAGCAATGACAGGGTTTTGTCCAAAATAAAACATCCAACCCAAAAATCAAAAAACTTCTAAAGAGTTTCAGCTTCATCATGGGTTTCCATGTCAGGTTTTCCACTCTGACTTCCTTAACCTCTGACTGGTAGCCCTTGGCAGAAAATTTATGGAATGACTGAGAGGATACATGAGGAAAACCACAAGAGATTGGATTCACTCTGACCTGGAAATTGGTCTGAGTGTTTTGGAGCAAGGACCTGAAGCTGGCCAGGACAGAAAAGGTGAGTGAGGCAGGAGAGAGTTGATTAACTGCAGATCCTTCCTCATGGAAACAAGAAAATAGGAAATACAGGAGCAAGTGGAAGATAATTTTCATGTTTGCTACTCAACTTTGATGATTTTTAAGTGTGCAGCTGTAAGTCAGTATATACAAATCAGTATTTAAGTAAATATTGTGGAGATCAGTGAAAAGACAATTTTGTATTTAATGGTCCTGGACATTGCAGAGACAGAGGAAATTTCCCTTCTGCTTTGTCAGAAACCTGGATATTCCTGTACAGGGCTGTAGGGACAGATTTTTCTTTGTTTCCTCTCATCCCAAAGAAAATCCCTAAATTCTTAAGTATTGAAAAAAACAAAGATAACACTCCCACAAATTCTTTCAAAATATAAGGACTGTTACAATTATAATATTAAACTGATTATTCAGCAATTGAATATCAATGATGCTGATACTACTGTGTTTTTAAAGTAATAGTTTGGGGTTTTTTTTGTGTATTAGCTCTTCAAAAATGTTTATCTGATTCTTTTTCCCAAAACAATTGTAGTGTTCATATTCAGGTAGAGACCAAAGTATTTTTGAAGGAATTTGTCAATTTTGTGGTAATGAGTGTTAGTTCTTTAAGGTGTGTATCAGCTGATTTTTTTTTTCCCCCTCACTCACATTCATCTTTTTAGTACTCACATTCAGGCAGAGACAACCTGAGACCATAAAATAGAGATTTGTTCTCATTACTTGTTCTGGTAAAGCACTTAAAGCTGCCTCTGAACTCAAGAGTTTATTTACTTAAATATCTCCTTAAATAAGGGGCTATTAAAAGTACAAAAAGTCTTAAGAAATATCAGGCTGTCCTAAGAGTATTGCTAAGAAATTTTTAAAGTAGTCTCCTAAAAGTCAATTTTTCTGCAGGTAATTTCTACCACTACCTGGAACAACACAAAGCCTTTATGGCATGGGTGGGGGCAGCATCCCAGCGATTTCATTTCAATCTGGAAATCTTTTGGAAAAATTCCAAAGCATTTCCAGCTCTTGGGGTAAGATTTCCCTTGCTGTTTGGTAAGACAGGCAATGCATACTCACTCCAAGCCACTGGCAGCAAAGCACTTCAAGTGAATTGTGATCACTTCGGGCATTTTATCGAACAAAAGGCTGCGCTCGGCTTCCGTGTAGTGGTGGCAGTTCTCACAGAAATATTTGTCCTCTCCCACAATCCTCTCCACTGAGGCAAACTGGGAAATTGCCCATTTCAGAGTCTTCATTTCTGTTTTTGGCTCTGGAGAAACTAGAAAAGAGAATTGCTGCATTCACGGATATGCCAATATTTACATTTCCAATGCGTCCCGCCAGAAGAGCAACGAAACAAAATATGTCAAGTTCAGACCACTCCAAACCTGCAACACTGCAAAGAACACTCAGTATGTGTGAAATATGTGATGTGTTCCAATCTCTGGAGCATTGCAGGAAGGGATGAAAACATCATTTAATGGATATCGTTACTCCAAATTAGGATTTTTCCAAAGCTCGTTTCAGATCACACAATTTTGTTGCCATGTCTGGAAATGGAGAGCTTGTATGAGGTCAGAATTTCACTTATTAAGGCAAACCCCCCAAAATAACCAGAAAGTTCCCTCTCACTTCTTGCATTTTGCCTCCCCTGCCACCCTCACACTGCTGACAGGATCACCCGCTGTCGGCAGCACTTCACACATGAACATCACCCCACACATTTTCCTTTGAATCCCTCAGCAAAATGGGGAGCAAAAGCAGGAAAAGCTGCTCCAAAATAAGTCCATGGCAACTAAAATTAATTCCCTTGAAATTCTGAATTTCAAGATGTGTTTCTGCCCCACTTCCTTATGAAAACAGCTAAAAATCTGCATATAGATCAATAAAATTTGTGAAAGAGACCACATGACTAACATTTACAAACATAATATGAATGTCATTACGGTAACAACAATCTAAAATACTTTTTTTTAGAGTAACTAAGGAAAAAAAGCTGCAATCTTGTTTCTTTTATTTCTAAGGGAAAAAAAAAAGTAAATATTTCTTATAAAAAGAAGAAAAAAAGCAAGATTTCTTATCCAGGAAGAAAACAGAGGACTCAAATCAAAGGAAATACCTCTTCACAAGCAGGAAAAGAGGTGCCTAAGTGACAGATTGTAGGCAGTCCATGCTATGTGTTAAGATCTGGAGTAATCTGAATATTATCTGGGTCTGTCAGCATTATCAGCACCGTCTTTCCAAAGTCTAAAGTTGATCAGGACAGGAGATAACAGCCTCTAATTTTAGCCAGCACAAACAGGAGCCACGTTCCTTCCTAACTGCAGCACTGTCCTTCCCCACGGCTGGCTGAGGCAGGAACACACCTCACAACCCTTTTTTTTGAGATGATTACTTACTTTCAGAACTCTCTTCACTTTTAGCAAGTTCATCTTCTTGCACTGGGACACTGATGTCCTGAAAATCTTCCCTCCTTTCCGTGAAGCACTCGCACTCCAAGCACCTCGTCCTCAGCACTAACTGGCCCTGGAAGAGTTTCTCCACCAGCTCGAAGACAGCCAGCTCTGTACCTGGAGAGAGTACATGGCACATCCCTGAGCAAGGTGCATTTCATTCCAGACACCCTTCAGAACCCAGTCATCCTTGCAAAATCACTGTTACAGCCATGGCCCTTTAGGGATATCTGATAGGAATCAAAAAGCAAAACAAATCACCTGCAGCTTTCATGGTATCATCTGCTTGTAAGTAAATAAGAACCCTCTGTCTCTTGGGCCTCAAACTTTAATTTCTATTCTAAGATTGGGTTCTTGTTTTATACTTGGAAGTGTGACAGTGTCACATTCTGGAATATTTGGCTGCCATCACTGCTCTGACTCCTTAGCATGGACTGTTGACCTCAAGGAGCACCATACTGTGTTTCTCTGGTTCCTGTTTATTCTCAGTCCTCTCCTCTTTCCTAAATTTATTGGTCTGTTTTGGCCAAATCTGCAGAAGAAATTCAGAACTCAAAAGACTCTTCATTCCTTCAGTTTTTAATGAAAAATTGGTGGGTGGAAAGTTCCAAATTAGTAAGTACTGGATTCATACTGAGGCCCTTCCCTCAACATGTATCTTGTTTCATTGACATAAAAAACCATCCAGACCTGCTGGCCCATTAATGTTTCTAATTGGTATCTATTAGATCTAAATAGATTAGCTCTTTAGTACATCCTGAGTCCTTCCTGGTTCTTGGGAAGGTTGGGAATATGGAAAGATTAAGGAACTGGAAGGGAAAGAGAGGGTTTTATGTTTGTAAAACCATAGCTAGTGGGGATTGGTTCTGTTTGCTCCTGCCACAAATATCCCTTTACATCTTGAATCCACTTGTTCTTTCTCTGGATGACAAAAATTAGTGGTAAATACAAACCTGGTAATATTCTGCCTTTTTTATACATATTGTACAATGATTACAGAACGTAAGAGAAATGACTCGAGATCTAAGCTAAACAGGTCAAGTTCTAAAAGAAAAAAAAATTACAAACACGTATAAAAATAAATTCTCTTTCCTAAAAAATCAATCTTCAATTCCTGAAAAATCTAATTTTGTGTTTAGAGCTCTGCAGGCTGTGCAGTCTGAAGGCTGACTTCCCACGCATTGTACTTTCTTAATCCTACTAATTTTAAGCCCATCCACTTGTGCACCAACCTTCCTTTTTTGGTTCTTTTTCAGTTCCTTTTCCATGATGGTTTTCCACGGGAGACACTGGTTCATGATATTCTTCTTTACTGTCACCATTTTCGCACTTGACAGCTGACTCTTCAAACTCACAGTCATATTCTTTCCCTGGGTCTTTGGGTCCCAAGTTTGTAGTTAACTTTCCTAGACTGTAAAATTTGGACAGAATACTGGGCTGTTTGCAGGAAGATTTTAACCAGTTTAACCTAAGGCGCGACTTTTTCTGCGTGGGCTTGGCGCTCTCGCTCTCCCCAGAACACTTGGCGATGGCATCCGTTTGGTTTTCCATCTTTTCTCCTGTGGCTTTCCTCTTGGACCTGGTTTGTCTTTGATTTTCTTCTGCTGCAATTTGCTCTTTAGATACTTTGGATTTTTTCTTGGCGTTGCCGCCCTCGGCGTCGCTTTTCCTTTTCCCGTTTCCCTTGAGCAGCTTCTCCTTGGCCGCGTCTCCGCCGTGGCTGCCCAGGGTGGGATCCTCCTCCTCAGCGGGGCTGATGGATCCGTTGCTCTCTGACTTTTGGTTGGGTTTTTCCTCCAGTTCAGCTGCAGGCTCTTCCACAGGCAGTTTGTTCAGCTCCTCCTTTTTCAGCAGCTGGCAGGTTTCCTGGATGTTCCCCAGGATACACTGCAGGACCTCCTGGGCATCGTGCTGCAGGTACCCTTCGTACATGGGGTTCAGCTCTCTGGGCAAAGAAAGGAGCAGAACATGAGGGTTAGGTGTCCTTTGCTAACTGGGGAATGTGCTCTGAGACTGAAATCAGGGATTTACAAGTCATGGAGGATTCGCCTTCAGGCACAGAGAGGAATCCTCTGTGTCACAGAGCTGGGGGAAGGTTCAGCCTTAAGGATTTACACACATCCAGCAGTGGAGCTCCTCAGCTCCAAGGGGATCCTTCCCATCCCTGGAAATGTCCTGGACAGGGCTTGGAGCAACCTGGGATTGTGGAAAGTGTCCCTGCCCATGGCAGGGGGTGGAACTGGATGAGCTTTAAGGTCCCTTCCAACTCAAACCACTCTAATTCAGTAACACTTCTGTTCCTAAGCACTGTTTTAAACCCCTTCTGTATTACAGTCTTAGAAAATTCAAGTTTCTTTTCAAATTTCCAACACAAATTACCAACAATAAGCACAACAAAAAAATCTTACTTCCTATAAGTCCACCCCAAATTTACCACCCATCTCCCACCAGCCTCTAAAGCTGGGCAATGTTACGGCCTGGAAATGTCAGAACAAAATTCTGTCAGCATTCAAGGGGATTTGTACCTGAGGGTGTTCAGCAGCCTCCGGGGCTGAGTGGCCAATTCATCCGTGTATTTCTCTGGGTTTAGGAGAAAACTGGCTTGAAGCTGCTCAACTGAAAGGATCAAGGAGTGCAAACTGCAGATGAGTTCGTAACTTGCCAAGGGATCTTCTTTACAGCTTCCCTGCAAAAACAATGTGAAAGGATTAAAAACATTTGCAACACTTACACTGGTCACAAATTAACATTTTCCACTCCTCCCCTCCCTTGGTTTTCTGTATTTGGCTGATTTTTTTATCTGCTATGGCAGGCAGGTGTTTATGCCAGAAGCATGGTCAGGTACCTTCCTCAAATTTCTTCTGTTAGGTTTTAAAACTTGTGCTAAAGTTCAAAACAACTCAAATACATTTTCACCTGAAGTAACAGCGTAGAAAACAATGCTGAAATGTTCTTAAGAACAAAAATCAGTTGAATTTTCACTACATTCAGGACAGCCTCGCTTGCAAGGTTACAAATAAAGAACGTGGGGGGATTTGTTACCTTTTCTGCCTTTTGCTCTCCTTCATCCTTTGAAGATTCTCTCTTCTTTGAAATAATGTTATATAAATGTTTTACTCCAGTTTTAAAACCAGGACAAAAATATAATACCTGAAAGCAACAGTTGAAAACACGAGAATAACCGGAGTAAGAAGTTATTCCACGCATAAATGCACATTTATAATCCACACAGCTCTGCATGTCCCCAGGCACACAAAGATCCAGGATTTTTCACAGCAGGGAGGAGCCCCGAGTATGGAAACTGAAGAATTTCCCAATCAGGACAACCACAGGGCACACATTTCCTGCAGCAGCATCTTTATTTCCCCGTTATAATAAGATGCCCTTTATACTGCACCCAGAATAAACTGATTTCACCCATTTGTGCTTAACCAAAATCTCCCTTTTGGAGCCCCCCTGGACATGGCCTCACCTGCAGGACACTGTTCAGGTAGCAGGTATTGCCCAGGTTGTTCAAGCCCACAAAAGGCAACATGCTGTCTTTTTTCTCACAGCTGACAAGGGAGGGGGGCTGTGCTGCAGGAACCACCTGGTCACTGGGAAACAGAGAATTGGGGTAAGAGACACTTTGGAAAAAACACTCCTTCATCTCTCCCCACCTCAGAGAATTCAGCATTGAGAAATGCAGATCAAAATCGTGGCAAAGTGTGTCTGAATTCACTCCCGACTCCTCAGCAACCCACCCAAAAGCACACAGGAGGAAAACGTGCTCTAAGTTCCAACACATCAAATACCAGGAGATTGATTTAATGGATCAAAAATTTCCTATTTAAATACTTTTGTATATTCTTTGTTCATTCATGAGGCAGAAAAAAAATGTGCCTAGAACATATTTATACATTGTCCCCTGCTCCAGTCATATCACTTCATTTCTGGATGCAAAGCAAAAGCATAAAACCAGAAAAAAATCTAAAAAAAGAAACCAATAAAACTGACACGCTATACACTGATTATCATTATTATTAATCACTGATAGAAGTGATTAATACACTGTAATGACACGACAGAACCAAATTTTAAAGTCTCCAACTATTTCTAACTGTCCAGAGTTTTCTTTTTCCCACTTAAATCTCCTCACCAGCAGTGAAATGAGTCGATAGATTTGCTCAGGGCCTGAAAAGCCCCAATGAGTGACAGCCAACCCCACAATTAAAGACCCTACACATATTCATTACAGCTCACCTTGCAGAAAATTAGGTTTTTATATAAATAATTACATAAATAGTTCAGTGACACATTAACTATTTATATTAACTTGAAGCAAAGCAACTTTTTTAACTGATCCTAAAGTTTGTACCAACTAAACACCAACATGGAGGCAGAGTTATTTTCCTAAAAGACTTATTAAAAGCTGGTTACAGTGATTAATTAGGTTTTTAAAACTAACTTCAGCAAGTGATCCCAAAGCCTGTGCCTAAACGAAGCATCCCCGGTGGGGCAAAGCTGTTTTCTCAAAACAGAAATTAGTTATAGTAATTAGCTCGTTTCAGTTTGATGGAGCTGCCTCAACGGTTTAATTTAACGTAAGTGCATGTTAATTTAATCGAAGCGCACGTTAATTTAATTTAGCGCGTGCTGCAGCACGTTATTTATGCGAGAACACGAAAGCGAAAGGAGAGGAGGATGGAGCAGCACGAGACAGACACAACATCGCCACAAAAACTTCTCCCGCGCGCCACTCACATCTCGGCGCCTCGGAACTCCGCGCCCTTCTGCGGCTCATTTTCCTGCGCCTCGGTGAAATCCAGCGCTCGCTTCGCCTCCTTCTTCTGAAAGAGCTTCAGAGACAGCCTGTTCTTCTTGGAGGGGCTGGCCCTGGCGCTGTCGCCGGGCAGGACGCCGGGCATGGTTCCTGCGGGGCGCGGCCGGGGCGCTCACACCTGGCGCGCACACACACACACACACGCGCACACCAGGCGCCATTTACTCCCCGAGGGGG